TTTGAAAACAATTATTGGGCTGATGAATTTGAGAACAAGGGAACTATCTGAAAAGCTGGTATTTCATTGTGTTTGACCAACTGCTTTTGCAACAGGTTCATGACGACTTTGGAAAGCAATATTTTCTCATTATTAACGTGATCAGAATATCAAAATAATATGGCAACACTGTTCACCTTCTTCCCACAAGTTCACAGCTCCACCCTGCACAGCTACTTAGGAGCTGGCATAAAGGAAAAGACCACTGGGCCATTAAGATCCATAGCCAGCCTGACAGTATGGATTGGCCATTCTTTTGTGCCTACGTATGCAGTGCTATCCCATTACTTATATTACAGTAGCACCCAAAAATGTGTTTCGTGTTGTATAAACAAAAGGCAAGTCCCTTCTCTGAAAAGCTTACAGGTTAACACCCACCCTCCTCCCCCTCCCCCATTCCACAGACAAAAGGGAACAATATAAAGCAAAATGGTCAAGGCCGTGTTTGGACATATTTTGATAGTTTCATGTCTATATAGATGTTTGTGTTTTATAAACTATTCCCAGCTACATAGCCATTAATTGATTAATTTCTGAAGTTGATCTTGTAGAGGATTTGAAGGCAGGGAAGGTAATGAGCTTGATGGACCTGTTCAGGAAGAATCTTCCAGGCTACACATTAGCAACAGAACAAAGTGCAGAGGTAGTTATATGAGACAGAGGGCATCATGGATGGCATCTGTGACAGAGCAGTGTTTGTATTTGTGTACTGGGGGCACAATAAGAGCCTAGAGTTCTGGTTGGGTAGACAGAGAGAAAAAGTTGGATCTTAGCAATGTTGTGGCGTAAGCAGCAGCGAGATTTGGAAATGGCCTAGTTGTGAAGGGGAAAGGAAAAGGAGTCTGCCAAGACACCCATGTTACTTGGGTTCCTATACTGCCAAAGTCATTCATAAGTCTCAAATTTGGCCAGGCCATAGCTACCCATGATAAAGGACAAAAGTCAAAGGAGGAGAGCCAAGATTTTTCAAAAGTGACTATTGATTCTGAGTCCTGAACATGAGACACTTTGTAAGATCCTAATTTTCAGAAAAAGCATCCGTCCTCTGGAGATCAAGGCCTGATCTAAAATTGGGGACCCAAAAATGGTAGCACTACCACATTAAGTCAGTTTTGAAAAGCTTAGACAGAATAAACTTCACCAAAAATCACAGCGTTTTGTATTTTGGGTGCAAATTCCACATATGGTGTAACAGCAAAGAGGCTTTGATCTTGGCAAACAAAGCTCAAGCCAGAGACAACTACTGTAAACCCATCCTGGTTCCCCACCTTTTGTTTTTAAATTTTTTTTTCCACAAGAAAAAAAGGAACCCTCATGACTTCTTGGGGAATGAAAACTCTCACCAAGAACTCAGCCTCTGATCATTTGTGTTGCTGCATTGTATTTAAACTTTGTGATTTTTGGTAATTTTTGTTCAGTTGTTATCAGAGGTGGGTGTACAGCTGTAGGCAAAAGTCTCAAGTCATGAATTTTAAAAATGATGGTGCTTAAGACAAAAATCTAGCTTCATAATTTTAATGAAGAAATAAGAGTTAGGGAGATAATCCACACAAGCGGAATTCTCAGAGGTACAATGTAACCAGGAAATATACCTTTGTGAAAGGGTGTCAGAGTGAGAGAGAGAGAATTCCAATTCTATTCATACAATTCTGAGTTTTGAAGTAAAAACTTTTGGGTGCAGCGAAGCAGAAGACGACAGAGAAAAAGTAACAAATACAGGGCCAGATCTTGTTAAGCCATACCCACGGGAACAGCTTTATTGATTTTAATGAGATTATGTATGTAAGGATTCCTTTGTACAGTCCACACACAACGGTCTGTGGGTGACAATTTCATTTGTCAAATGCAGCATCACTCTAAAGTCAAAGTTCCCCTGAGCCAACAGCTCATTGGGCTCTGTGGTTATGGCATGTCATTCAGTTCCCTCTTCTTAGCAAGGCAAATGTATTTGAGCAGCTGCAGTTTCCAATGGTCCACTGATAAAACAGAATGCAGACTAGCCTTGGTGATAATCCCAGAAGGCTTCTTGGGTAAAGCGTATAATAATCATGTACCAGTAATATGTACATTGAGAAATTATATTGGCAAGACACAGTATGCAATGTTCTCTTCTGGAAAGAATTGCTTAATTTGTGGCAGGGTGTGCCAGGGCTGAGCCCCAGCACCTCTAGGCTTGGCAGTTCATAGCCCTGGCACCTCTGAGCTTGCCACATCAGTTATGAAAATAAAAAAATTGCTTAAACCCATGCACCTCATTTGTTACAAATTAAGTCTCCATTCAGACTATGAACTTTGGAAATAAGTTTGACCCAAACATAATTTAGTCTTGAGAAAAGAGCACTGAGGCGGGGCCCTGATAAAAACAGTCTTCAAATATGTAAAGGGCTGTTATATAGAGGCCCGTGATCAACTGTCCACTGAAGGTAGGACAAGAAGTAATTATCTTAATCTGCAACTAGGGAGATTTAGGTTAGAAAGCAGGAAAAACTTTCTAACTATATGGGTCGTTAAGGGGTAGAGAATCCCCACACCTGCCAGTGTGGGTCTAGGTTTACTTGGTCCTGCCTCATCACAGGTGGCTGGACTTGATGACTTCTCAAGGTCCCTTTCAGCCCAACATTTCTGTGATTCTAGAAGTTTGAAAAAGAGCATCCACAGGCAATCTTGTTTAATCTGTTATATATAAATGTGGAACTTTCTATTTCATGCCATTTCAATAGCAACCTATTCTTTAAACACATTTGCATGCCTTTTTTTTTTTTAAACACATTTTTTGGAATAAGACCATATTCTTGTAAACGGTGGGCCTGATTTGATGTTCATGTATACTAATGCACCTGTAAAGCCCTTTTACATGATCAGAGTGGTGAAAAGGGGCCTTTGTGAAAATGAGAATTAGACCAGATGGGTACACAACTCAAAAAAAATCTGTGGACACATTAACAGCTGGCTACAGCAGTTCAAGGTATACTGAGAGTTTGACATTGGAAAACATAATTGCAACTATACATACAAAATAATGGAGTCTAAATTAATTCTTACTATTCAAGAAAGTTTGGCATCATCATGGACATTTCTCTGAAAATATCTGCTCAATGTGAAACTGTCAAAAAAGTTCACAGACTGTTAGGAGCCATTAGGAAAGGGATAGATAAAACAGAAAATATGACACTATACACATATACGGTATGTCCAAACCATGAATACTGCATACAGTTTTGATAGCCCCATCTCAAAACACATATATTAGAATTTTAAAAGTACAGAGAAGTGTAACAGAAATTATTAGGGGAATGGAACAGCTTTTATATGAGGAGAGATTTAAAAAACAGGGACTGTTCCTCTTAGAAAAGGGACAGCTAAGGGGGGATATGGTAAAGGTGTATACAATCATGAAAGGTGTAGAGAAAGTGTATAAGGGAATTTTATTTACCCATCACATAACACAAGAAACAGGGGTCACCCACTGAAATTAATAGGCAGCAGGCTTAAAAACAAACAAAAGGAAGTATTTCTTCACACAGTGCACAGTCAACTTGTGGAACTCATTGCCAAGGGATGTTGTGAAGGCCAAAAAAAGTGTCACTGGATTCAAAAAAGAATTAGATAAGTTCATGGAGGATAGGTCCATCAATGGCTATTACCCAAGATGTCAGGGACACAACCCCATGCGCTCTGGGTGTCCCAAGACCTCTGACTGCCAGAAGCTGAGACTGTATGACACAGGATGGATCACTCAATAATTGCCCTGGCTGTTCATTCCCACAAGCATCTGGGACCAGCCACTGTCAGAAAAACAGGACACTGGGTTAGGTGGACCTTTGGTCTGACCCAGGATAGCCATTCTTATGTTCATATTGGTGACTCACTGCAATTCTAAACTCAGATCATTTTTTAAAATCTTTATATAACAGCATTAAGGGCAGAGGCAGCTTAGACACAGAAATGGCAAGCTCACAAAGAACATTAATTAAAAAGAATACCATTCTAAGGAACAAAACAGACACAGGCTGCTTCCTCCAACCGTGAGCTGCAATGGAACAAGAGAAGAGGTTGGTGAGGGTTGTATTGATATTTTTTCTATTTCTCTTTAGTGCCTTTTTAAAAACAGAACAAAGTTAGCAATGCATTTAAACCAATAGGCTTCTTTGGGGGACCGATGACCTGCCCTAAGTGACCTAGTGTTCAACCTAGGAGCATTTCAAACTAGGTAGTTGTCAGCCATCCTATAAATTACTGTCTCTTTTCTCTGGGGGGTGGGATGGAGGACCCACACAGGCCAAGGTGACAGACCATCTTGAGATAAAATTATCACATCTTGAAGAGTTAAGAGCAGAAACATTTGCTAGTACAGATTGCAGCTGCATTCAGTATGACCTTCTCACTGTTCTTATGGAGCAGCAAAAACTGAAAAGCACCAGTAACTGAAATATCACAGAAGTTAGCTTTTAGACAACCAGAATGTAACCTAAATCAATTCTCTTCTTTGCAGTGTGGGGAAAACCTTGTCCCAACTGGTTCAAATCATATCATCATAGAAATTACCAGGTTACTGATAGGATGTAGTGAATCAAAAAGTGTGTCTAAACAATAAAGAACTCCAAAGAAGATTCAGAGGACAGTGTGGTAGAGAAAAAGCATGGACTCCCCAACTTTTTCTAGAGTGTAGAAGGGTCATATATGCAATATGCTGTTTCAGTCATTAATCAATATTTATGAACTCCTAACAAGAAAGTGATGCTTACAAGACAATCTAGATTCTAAACAGTAATTAAATATCAATTAAGTCTTCCTTGTAAAGTGATTGTAAATCTGAAATTATTTACATGCACTTTGGAATTAAAAGGACAGCAAAGCCTTTGTAAAATAAATTTTATAAATTCTAATAGTTATTCAACAAAAGAATCTTTGTAATTACTGCTTCAGTATGGTACACAGATACAAATAAATTATTCATTAAATACAACTCACATCTGGGTTTTATTATACTCTGTAAAATATACAGGAATCTTGATGTACTGAAAGAGTGCAGGTAAATACAGTATTCAAGCAATCACTATTTCTATGTACATGCTCATTAATTCTTCAAAAAACCCACAAAATTATCAAATAGATCAAAATACTGTCCTGTGTTTCCACACTTTATGTTCAGAAAACCAGCTGATAATTTACAATGGCATTAAGGTTTCCAGTTTCACAATACAAAAAAGGATAACAGGTAATTGGGATTCAGTTTATTTGTATTTTACCTGCACATGCAAGAATCCCTTGCATGTACGTAAGCAATGTCACTTTAAAAGTAATAGCTATAGTTAAAGCAGAACCCAATAAACTAAATACTCATTTAACAGACAAACTTTGAAGTCTTCCATTTTTCAGGCACCTTTTTTATTTTTTTTAAACAGTAGTCTGTTATAAATAAAAAGACTGAGGGCAAGTTTGTAGTACACTACAGGGGCCTGCATCGTCTATTGATTTTTTAAATGGAGAACACCACAGATATTTCTTCCTGAAGATCCAACATTCTACCTTTTGATAACAGGGAAACTTTCTTTTAAATTCATCTTCCTCCCACCCCCACTCAGAACTCCAGGATTTAAAAGAAATACAATATGGAGGCATAGACTTCATCTCACTTACAAACTTTATGATGTAAATAAGTGGGTGAATTGCTGATAAATCCATTCCCTAAAAACTTTCAGCCACAACAGGGTGTCAGGAGATTCCATTTAAATTTTTATGCAGTTTCATTTTCTCAGTAAATTACCCTTCATGTATTTAAATAAAAAATATCTCAATTTAAAACCCAGAAGTTAAAAATCTAAAACTGTGCAACAATTACTGTTTCCATCCCACCCCTCCCCTTGTTTATTATACTGTACACGTTTCACCCTGACTGCACCTTGTTAGCTGGTTTTTTTTAAGCTTTATAAAAGTATGACAAGTTCATTTTTGTTTAATCTAAAAGAAAAAACAAAACTGAAAGATACATCTGCTTTCTTTCATGGTACATTTAATAGTGTCGGAAGGCTTTTAGATTATAAAAAAATCAACATTTAAAACCAAATCTAAGCTTCATTCCCAGAAATAATTAAGGTTTGGTTAAGACAACATCTCATTTAACCTATTCCAGTTTCCACAAAAGGTATTTAATTAAAAAAACTTTAAGTTATTTGGTCCTTTGGCAATTTGCTGCACACACAATGCCTACTGTACCAAACTCATTTATTGCCTTCAAAATGGTTTTAGTTTTATTGATTATAGTTAAATCTAGTGTCCTTTTTGTTGTACAATAGTGTTGTTCATTTACACAGACTAGGGTGCAGAGTCTGGAAAAGTTATTCCTGGCACCACAAACAAAATGGTAATGTACAATTAAATAAAACAGTTTTGACATTCTTAATTTTTTTTGCTGTAGATTCCAAGTATTTTTCAAGAATTTATGCTTCTTTTGCAAAACTTGCTTTTTAAAATCCTCCCAGTGTCACACACAGATCTTTCATATGCACCCACAATTAAAAAAAACCCCAAATCTTCTCGTAGGTCTGTCCTCTTTTGTAATTAAACACTGACTGCTTTTTTTCCAAAAGCACAATTCTGACCTTCAGATGACTGGGTTCACTCTTCAGACCTCCAGATGAAGCTTCTTAATAGGTCTCAGAATCTGAGTCATTAAGCTCATCCTCTTCTGTATATGGGTAGCCATCTTCCCTGCCAATGTTGTTGAAACTACAATAAGAGCTATGTTCACTCCTCATGATTGGCAAGGAGTCAAACGTGACAGTTTTTGAGGTGTTGGTGTAATGATTAATGGCATTGAATGTAAGGGAAGGTAAAGTGCTGCTTGATGAAACAGGCATCATCGTGGCCAAAATTAGAGCTAGACAATCAGCCACATCCTTATTGGGAGCACAGGCCAAAGCTGGTGTGTAACCTAGAAATCAAAATAAAATCAAAACCTTTGTTTAAAAAATAGGAAGTGTACACATTCTTCAAGAGCATTCAATCAGACAGCTGTAAAAACGTTTAAATTGCTTAGTTCTGTTTAAAAAGGAACATAAAATTAAACAATTTAAAATTACAATATCATTTATTTTTGTAAATTTTGCTGTTACAAAGTATTACAATGTTTATCTGCTGATTACAGTCTATATAAACACACCTTAGCTAAACAGGTTACAATATATCATACAGGCAGCAGGGTTGAAGATCAGGAAGAAAGATAAAACCCTGTGAAATCAGAAGACTTGGGAGGGCAGGATTTGATCGTTTTATTAGGCAAAGTTAGGAATTTTTGGATCAGGGAGAAAAACTGGGATTTCAAGCAGCCAGGAAGTTAACTGAATGAAGACAGGTAATTCCTATTCCAGTTAACTAACTGCAACCAATAATTAATTTTGCAGGAAATCTATAGCCATTATAAAAACCAATTGAAAACATGTAAAGCTCTAGCATAAGGAATATCTGCACAGCTGTTCATTGCAGAATAAGCAGTCTTACTGAAATATTTGACCCAAGGCAAGTTGGCAAAACATTAGCATGACCAGTGAAAGTGAGATGTTAATTTTTGTACTGGTATAATTTAAGCAATCTAGGTTTTGTTACTAAATAGCAATATAAAAAGGAGATAAACTAAGAAATGTCAACTGCATTACTGGGTTAGGACTTACAGTCTCCTTGCTTTAACTCAGTTCTATTTCAAACAGCACTATGTTGCACACTCAACGTTCCCGAGAATGCTGTACCAGCAGGGTCTACATGGACCAATTAATGCGCAACAACTTTAAATTCTAAAGCATACTAACCCCATAATGTGTATTACCCCACCATGTAGATTATGATTTTAAGGAGAGTGGAGCTCCAATTTTGGCCCCCAAGTCAGCACTATATCAATGAATAGAACTTCTTGTGGATATAGCACCCACAAAGCACTTTGATTTTTATCCACCCTGCCATTAATGGACCTATCCTCCATGAATCAATTTTCATTTAATTTTTTTAATAAGCACCAATAAATTCCTAGGAAATCTTAAAATAAAAACTGAAAACAATGATTTAAAAAAAATTTAAAAAAAATTTAAAATCAGATTTTTTTGATAAAATGCTTTTTGAGGAAAAAACCTATCTAAAGATCCATGATAAGATCTTTGAACTATAATGTAATAGGGATTATAAATTCTAATGCTATAGTATGAGACAATATATTCATGTAATGTTTAAGAAAAGTTTTGTAAATGAGTTCCAATAGTTCATGGATTAGGGACCCAATTTTATGGGGTTCCAGGCGCTTCTGTATAGATTATTTAGGTTAATCTATTTAGGTTAATCTTAAACCCAATGGGACTCAATATTTTCTAGACTGAGCACTATCAAAGATGCTTAGTTTTGCAGTTCTCAAACTGTGGATTTGTGTCTCCAGAGATAACATGCTTGTTAACAGCAAACATTTTTTTAAATAAATAATACATAGAGGTGAGAAATAACAGACCTCAACCCTACTGTCCCCTCTGCAAATTTGTGTACACAGAGTCAATCCCTTACCTCTCTCTAAAAGTACAAAGTTTCAAAAAGTTCAATGAATAGAAGGCGGAACAGATCTGGACAGTCGGGAGATAAACGTGAGAAGGGAGGGACAGGCAGAGGAAACAAAAGTGAAACTGTTTGAGCACAATATTCCAGAAATCTTTTGGTCTTTTTGAGTGTAGCCTTCACCGATTTGAGATCTACCATACCATTCTCTCACTAGAAGGGAAAACCTATAATGGCAGCAGGCCATAAAAGAGACCCAGTTTGGGAATATTTTAATGAAGTTCCTCTACCTGTGGGTAAGACAGGCATGCGTGAAAAATGCAAACAGTGCAACAAAGAAATGCAAGGCCGGGTTGGCCAAATGAAACAACATCATGAGAAGTGTTCCTTCTCAGGAGGAAGATGCGTTGAAGATGATGAAAGGAACATGTCTGAACACACAGGATCTTCAGGTTGGTAAACTTTTTTATTTCATACTTCTTTCTTAAGGACTGCCTGTCGTCCTTCTGGACTGTTCTTGGATTCTCATCTTTGAGCAAAAAATATAGCTGTTACTCTATGGTACTATCATTTTAGATGCAGTTGTGATAAAAAATAGCTGAAATAGGCAGATCTTCCTTTTACAATTTCACCTTTAAAGTAGTACTGAGTGTCAGTGAATGCAATGAGTAATACTAAATAAGCAGTATGGTAATAATACTTAAATAACTGCATTGACTTATTTTGTTTAGGAAAATCCATCCTCAACATACAGGATTCTAAAGACTATCCACCTTCAAGATCACCATCATTTTCTATAGTTTCAGAGTTATCTGCCAATTATAGTGTTTCAGTCACATCATGTATGTCACATTGCCACAGTATATCATCTGTAGCAAAAAGAAAAAAAAGTCTCCATCATCCAGAAACAACCATAGATAAGTTTGTGATAAGAACCAGCAGATTACAAAAAGAGGTAACTGATGAAAAAATTGTCCCGTTTGTTTATGCAACAAACTCTCCTTTCTGTATGATTGAGAACCCACACTTTAACAACATGGTTCAGTCATTAAGACCAGAATGCAGTCCACCCAACAGAGCAGATTTCACAGGCAAATTACTGGATAACGTGTATGAAAGAGAAATTGAGCAGTGTGCGAGAGGTCTAGAGGGTGAAATTGTTAACCTGAATCTTGATGGGTGGAGCAATGTCCACAATGATCCTGTTGTATGTGCTTGTGTGACAACAGAAGAAAGGAATGTCTTCCCTACAGAAACAATTGATACATCAGGAAATGCACACACAGCAGAATGCTTACAAAAGTAGCAGTAAAAGCTATAACAAACTGTGAAAAAAAATTCAAATGTCTAGTATGCAGCTTGGTCACAGACAATGCTGCAAATGAATCCAAGATGAGAAGAAATTTAGAAGAGAGTCCCAAGCTAATAACATACAGTTGCAGTACTCATACAGGTGCAGATGCACCTCCTAGCCAAAGACTGCCGTGTTCCAGAAATAAAGGCTAATGTTGTTGAAATTGCAAAATACTTCTGTAACAACTACTTTGCAGCAGCTGCTCTGAAAAAAGTGGGAGGAACCAAGCTAAACCTCCCACAAGACGTGCGATAGAATTCAGTAGTGGACTGTTTTGAGCACTATATCAAGAACTGGCCTAATCTGATGACAGTGTGAACAAAATCGGGAAAAAACAGATGCACTGTCACAACCAAAGTTCTCAACATTGGGCTTAAGAGAAATGTTGAACACATGCTGAGTACCCTGAAGCCTATTTCTGTAGCCTTGAACAAAACGCAGGGAAATAAATAGCTGTTTTGTTGCTGATGCTGTTGAAATCTGGAAGGAACTGAGTGAGATCTTAAAAAGAGAAATATGCAATGACAGAGTTAAATTACAAGCATTAAAAAAGAATGGGACAAGCACTATCTCCCATAAAGCTCATTTTCTTGCAAATATTCTCAATACTCTGTACCAGGGTCAAACCTTAACTGCTGAAGAAGAGGAGTTGGCTATGACATGGACATCCAGCAATCATCCCTCCATAACGGCAACTATAATAAACTTCAGAGCTAAGGGTGAACCATTCAAGAAACAGATGTTTGCTGATGCTGTTTTAAAGAAAGTCACACCAGTGAACTGGTGGAAGTCACTTAAGCACTTGGATTCAGAGACTGTTGAAGCGATAATCTCACTTTTAACAGCAGTAGCTTCTTCTGCCGATGTAGAAAGAATATTTTCTTCCTTTGGACTAATTCATTCCAAATTGAGAAATCGTTTGGAACCTGAAAAAGCAGGAAAGCTTGTTTTTCTTTTTCAGATTATGAACAAACAGGGAAATGAAGGTGAAGACTATTGAGTTAGCTGCATTAGCCAATATTTTAAGCTTCTCATGTTGACCTGGCTCACAGTTTATTTAATTTTTGTTTTTTTAAAGAAAATATTTCATTTAACTATTTTAGTTAAAAACAAATTTTAAAAAACTTGAATGTTTAAATTCAAAAATTCATATGCTTGTTTTGTTAAAATATTATGTTTGCTGTTGAAGAAAAAAACCAGAATACATAATGTTGTTTAATAAAATAAAACAATTAAAATGTCTGTCTGGTGAGGTTCTCCTCCTAATACAGCATGGCACGAAAATCCTCCAAATATTGATGATTAACCTGTTGAATTGGAGATAGTTCACCTCCCAATGACTTCATAAATATCTGCTTCAATTACCTTTGGGAAATGAAATAACCAATCATTCATTTTCTGATATAGCTGTAAAACTACTCTGAAAAGTTTTCAAAATAAATCACTTTAAAATATACAGTGTGTACCTTCTAAAAATGAAACCTACATCTATCTCTGAGTTGTGAAGAATATGTATTAAGGTTACAACCACCAACAAGAATGCACTTTTATGTAGAAATCCACGATTAAATCGAGTCTTCCTGACTAGTGATTTAAATCAAATCCACCCTGATCAATGGCAATTAGCCACGATGGGCAGGGATGGTGTCCCTAGCCTCTGCTTGCCAGAACCTAGGAATTGGTGATGGGGATGGATCACTTGATGATAACCTGTTCTGTTCATTCCCTCTGAAGCACCTGGCATTGGCCACTGTCGGAAGACAGGATACTGGGCTAGATGGACCTTTGGTCTGACCCAGCATGGCCATTCTTATGTTCTTAGGTGCAAAATATTAACTTCACAGTTTTCTGAGTAAATATCAGGATTAACAGGGGGACGGACGGGAGGGCAGAAAAGAACTAATAGAGAAAAGTAAGTAAAAGTGGTTTAATATTGTGGTTTCTTTCACAAACTGTACATTAACAGTACATACACATATGCATGTCTGCACATGTGCATCTTCCATTACATTGCCTTACTTTAACAGATAGACTAATTTATTAACAAACACATCTAACTAATATAACTTATTAGATTTTCTTAACATAATCAGTATTTTCAGGTACATGAGTGGTCCAAAATTCTAGTGAACATCAGTAAAAACCAAACAGCAGCTTTTTAAAACCTGGGAATATTTTGGTAAAAATTGTTAAAAACTGAAGAAAGGGCCTTAACTATTAATTTAAAAAACACTGTAAATAAACCAAAACTTTAAAGGAAAGCCATGTGTTTGATTTGTATCCAACCAATTAAAGTGTCATCAAGGAGGTAATTTTTATTTTATCAGCATATACTCTATGTGCTAAGGAATTGTTTTTGTTGTAAAAGTAGATCCAGTTGCTCAAGGTTTTTAAGGAAACCTCAACAATTGTTATTGTCTGTTCAACTGATGTTGTACATTAGGTAACTGCGCAGACAACTAACAAACTTGTCACATAAAATAATATTTACATGGGATAATATTAAGGAAGAACAGCTAATGGGGGGAAGAAGAGCTTGTATTAAAATTATTTATTTGCTGAGTATAGACATTGTGCACGACACTGTACAGAACAGAGTAAGACAGTTCCTTCCCCAAGGAGCATACAATCTAAGCCCTGGTCTACACTATGAGTTTAGGTCGAATTTAGCAGTGTTAGATCGATTTAACCCTGCATCTGTCCACACAACAAAGCCATTTTTGTCGACCTAATAGGCTCTTAAAATCTATTTCTGTACTTATCCCTAACGAGGGGATTAGCGCTGAAATCGACAATGCCGGGTTGAATTTGGGATAGTGTGGATGCAATTTGATGGTATTGGCCTCCGGGAGCTATCCAGGAGTGCTCCATTGTGACTGCTCTGGACAGAGCTCTCAACTCGGATGCACTGGCCAGGTAGACAGGAAAAGCCCCGCAAACTTTTGAATTTCATTTCCTGTTTGACCACCGTGGCAAGCTGATCAGCACAGGTGACCGTGCAGATCTCATCAGCAGAGGTGACTATGGAGTCCCAGAATCGCAAAAGAGCTCCAGCATGACTGAATGGAAGGTACTGGATCTGATCACTGTATGGGGAGACAAATCCCTGCTATCAGAACTCTGTTCCAAAAGACTAAATGCCAAAATATTTGTAAAAATCTCCAAGGGCATGAAGGACAAAGGCTATAACAGGGACCCACAGCAGTGCCACGTGAAACTTAAGGAGCTCAGGCAAGTCTACCAAAAAACCCAAGAGGCAAACGCCCGCTCGGGGTCAGAGACCCAGACATGCTGCTTCTATGATGAGCTGCATGCAATTTTAGGAGGTGCCCCTACAACTACCCCACACCTGTACGAGGACTTCTGCAAGGGAGTCTCACGGAACAGGGATGAGGATTTGGGGGACGAGGAAGATGATGAGGAGGGGGAGGTTGAAGATAGCGCACACCAGGCAAGCGGAGAAACCGTTCATCACCCTGGAGCCAATACCCTCCCAACCCAGGCTCCCGGACCTTGAAGGCGGAGAAGGCACCTCTGGTGCGTGTACCTTTGTAAATATAATACACGGTTTAAAAGCAAGCGTGTTTAATGATTAATTTGCCCTGAAGACTTGGGATGCATTCGTGGCCAGTACAGCTACTGGAAAAGTCCCCTCCAGGGACATCTCAATGAAGCTCTCCTAGAGGTACTCCCAAAGCCTTTGCAAAAGGTTTCTGGGGAGGGCAGCCTTACTGCGTCCTCCATGGTAGGATGCTTTACCACGCGAGGCCAGTAGCACGTAGTCTGGAATCATTGCATAAGAAAGCATGGCAACGTGTGGTCCCGGTGTTTGCTGGCATTCAAGCAACACCCGTTCTTTATCTCTGTGTTATCCTCAGGGGAGTGATATCATTCACGGTTACCTGGTTGAAATAGGGGAATTTTATTAAGGGGACATTCAGAGGTGGCCGTTCCTGCTGGGCTGTTTGCCTGTGGCTGAAAAGAAATCATCCCTGCTGTTAGCCACGTGGTGGGGGAAGCAGTGAATCTATCATCCCAGAGAATTAGGTGTGTGTGTGGGGGGGGTGGTTAGTTGGGTTTGTGCTGCATGTTAACCAGAAAACATCAGTCCCTCCTTTTAAATGGCCAATGTGTCTTTCAGTTTTACTCTCCCTTTTTTTCCTCCCGTAGCTGCAAATGTTTCAACACTGCCACTAACATCTCCATCCCAGAGGCTAATGCAGATAAGAAGGCCAAAAAAACCGCACTCGTAATGAAATGTTCTCTGAGCTCATGCAGCCCTCCCGCACTGAAAGAGCCCTGCAGAATGCATGGAGGCAAACAATGTCAGATTCCAGGTAAGCACAAAATGAACATGAGTACAGGAGGGACGTGCGAGAGGATAGATGGCTGGAGCAACAGGAGAGGTGGCGGCAGCGTGATGAGAGGAGGCAGGATGCAATGCTGAGGCTACTGGAGGATGAAACTGACATGCTCCGGCAAAGGGTTGAGGTGCAGGAAAGGCACAGACGGCCACTGCAGCCCCTGTATAATCAACCGCCTTTCTCCCCAAGTTCCATAGCCTCCTCACCCAGATGCCCAAGAACACGGGGGGTGGGGGGGGTGGCTCCAGGCACCCAACCACTCCACCTGAGAGGACTGCCCAAGCAACAGAAGGCTGGCATTCAATAAGTTTTGAAGTGCAGTGTGGCCTTGTCCTTCCCTCCTCCCCCACCCAATCTGGTGCTTCCCTCCTCCTGGGCTACCTTGGCAGTTATCCCCCTATTTGTGTGATGAATTAATAAAGAATGCATAAATTTGAAACAATGACTTTATTGCCTCTGCAAGCGGTGGTCGAAGGGGAAGGGGAGGGCGGTTGGCTTACAGGGAAGTCGAGTGAACCAAGGGGGCGGGTTTTCATCAAGGAGAAACAAACAGAACTGTCACACTGTAGCCTGGTCAGCCATTAAACTAGCTTTCAAAGCTTCTCTGATGCGCAGCGTGCCCTGCTTTGCTCCTCTAATCGCCCTGGTGTCTGGCTGCACGTAATCAGCGGCCAGGCCATTTGCCTGAACTTCCCACCCCGCCATAAATGTCTCACCCCTTACTCTCACAGATATTTTAGAACACACAGCAAGCAGTAATAATGGGAATATTGGTTTCGCTGAGGTCTAACCGAGTGAGTAAACTGTGCCAGCGAGCTTTTAAACGTCCAAATGCACATTCTGCCACCATTCTGCACTTGCTCAACCTATAGTTGAACAGCTCCTGACTACTGTCCAGGCTGCCTGTGTATGGCTTCATGAGCCATGGCATTCAGGGGTAGGCTGGGTCCCCCAAGGATAACTATAGGCATTTCAACATCCCCAATGGTTATTTTCTGGTCTGGAAAGTAAGTCCCTTGCAGCAGCTGTTCATACACACCAGAGTTCCTGAAGATGCAAGCGTCACGTACCTTTCCCAGCCATCCCACGTTGATGTCTGTGAAACGTCCCTTGTGATCCACCAGTGCTTGCACTACCATTGAAAAGTACCCCTTGCGGTTTATGTACTGGCTGCCTTGGCGCTCCGGTCCCAAGATAGGGATATGTGTTCCATCTATCGCCCCACCACAGGTTAGGGAATCCCACTGCAGCAAAGCCATCCACTATGACCTGCACGTTTCCCAGAGTAACTACCCTTGATAGCAGCTCAGTGATTGCGTTGCCTACTTGGATCACAGCAGCCCCCACAGTAGATCTGCCCACTCCAAACTGATTCCCGACTGACTGGTAGCTGTCTGGCGTTGCAAGCTTCAAGAGCGCTATCGCCCTCACGTCTCAGCTGTGAGGGCTGTTCTAATCTTGGTATTCTGGGGCTTCAGAGCATGGGAAAGCAAGTCACAAAGTTCCATGAAAGTGCCCTTACATATGTGAAAGTTTCACAGCCACTGGGAATTGTCCCAGACCTGCAACACTATGCGGTTCCACCAGTCTGTGCTTGTTTCCCGGGCGCAGAATCGGCGTTCCATGGCATGAGCCTGCCCCATTGCCACCAGAATAGCCAAATTGCTGGAGCCCGTGCTTTGAGAGAAGTCTGTGTCCATGTCCTCATCACTCTCGTCACCACGCTGCCATAGCCTCCTCGCCTGCTTTTGCAGGTTCTGGTTCTGCATATACTGCATGATAATGCGCGAGGTATTTACAGTGCTCATAACTACCACGGTGATCTGAGCGGGCTCCATGCTTGCCGTGGTATGGCGTCTGCAGGAGAGCAGAGTTGCAGGGGAAGCGGTGGTTGGATGGCCAGTTTTGCAGACCTACTGCACTGTCTGCTGCCAGGACACAACAGCTGAGCGGGCTGCACGCTTGCCGTGATATGGCGAGACAAGAGCAGCCAAGGAGAGTTGCAGCGGAAGCGGCAGATGACGATGGTCATATAGAGGACCTGCGAGACCACCAGGAGAGCAGAGTGGCAGCGGAAGCGGTAGTTGGATGACAATGGTTTGCAGCCCTACTGCACTGTCTGCTGAAAGCAGTATGGCGCCCGCACGGAAAAAAGGTGCGAAACGATTGTCTGCCATTGCTTTCACAGAGGGAGGGGTGACTGATGACGTACCCAAAACCACCCACGACAATTTTTTTGCCCCATCAGGGAGCTCAACCCAGAATTCCAATGGGTGGCAGAGACTGCGGGAACTGTGGGATAGCTACCCACAGTGCAGCATTCCAAAAGTCGATGCTAGCCTCGGTACTGTGGCCGCACTCTGCCGACTTAATGTGCTTAGTGGGGGCCACACAATTGACACAATTAAAATCGCTTCCTAAAAAATTGACTTCTATAAATTCGACCTAATTTCGTAGCATAGACATACCCTAAGAAAAAAGTTCAAAAAGCACCAGCTGACCACGTGACAGGGATGTTCAACAGTGCAGCACATTTTGTTTTTAGTGTTAATAACAAATCATAGCACCTACAGGTTAAAGAGAACAATGACAGTCTTTACAGGAGATGTGCATTTTGAGGAGGATTCAAAGGAAAGGGCTTTTAGAGACTGCTACTCTGGGATGAAGAGGGCATTTCAGGCAGACAGGGCAGAACAGAAAAAGGCTCACTATTCATACTCAATGCACAGAACTCCAGATAACATTTATCAATGCTGCAGATCTCTTGTGAAGGTGACAAGTAAAACAGATTTGTTTACACTGATCATGTGTGTCATTATTTTACTATTTGTGCACTATGGTGAAATTAATGCAAAGAAGGAAGAAATACAGAGTACTGATTGCTTTTTATTGTTGAAATTTTTAAGACATGCTACTTGTTAATGCTCTGTTGACCAGTGTTATCTGGAACATGACATCCCAGATGGGCATTAAATGCTGAAAAAATAAAACTACTGGCCAGTCTGAACATTAAACAAATTATTTACATTTAATAATTACTTTAAAAGTACCATTTATAATAATTGGACACTCTTCAGGCTTGAGTTTCTGTCTTGCACCAGGTAGGAGAGATCTCTAACACACTCTATGTTTAAATATACCTAAAAGATTAAGTGACTGCTTGCCTCAAGAAGGGACAATGGACATCTGTGCCCTCAACCATCAGTTCTAATATAGCACTTTTCATCCATAAATCTTTACAAAGGTGGCAAATATTACCCACATTTTACAGATAGGGAAACTGAGGCACTGGGAGGTGACATCACCCAGCAAACCACCAGTGGCAGGCAGAGGAATAGAACTCAGGTCTTGAGTCCCAGTCCAGTGCCCCCCTTGAGAAATTTAAAAATCTCCAGTACTACAAGTGAAGACAGCTGAATACAATAAGCTCAATGAAATTTCATAAAAGTGAACCAAACAAGATTCCTCCCGCTCTGAGGGGAAAAAGCAAGACACATTATTCATATTCTACTCATCAATAAAAAGGATTATTGAGAGAGGATTGAGAGAGAGCTACAATGCCTCAAGCATACCCACAGAGGCATTCTAAACAAATTTAAACAGAGCATGGGAAGAGCTGTGACATAACCAGATTTTGCAGCACTGACATGACAATCAATCACTGTGGAAATACAGAGTCCAGAAAATGATGTTTAGCAGAAGTAGAGAACTCATGTAGATGTTCTGCACACCTGAAGTCTGAAACTGGCTGCTATCACTAGTATACTATTGATCAAAGGCACCTTTAATATGATAAGTTAAAGGCAGTTTAGCTAAAGTTATGTAGTCTTGCAAACAATTTTTGAAGGTTTCCTTAGACCAGGGGTGGGCAAACTTTTTGGCCTGAGGACCACACCGGAGTGCGAAATTGTATGGAGAGCCAGATAAGGAAGGCTGTGCCTCCCCAAACAGCCTGGCCCCTCCCACTTCCCACCCCCCTCAGAACCTCCCACCCATCCAATCCCCTCCCCCCCCACTCCTTGTCCCCTGACCGCCCGCCCAGGACTCCACCCCCTATATAACCCCCCCCCCCGCTCCCAGTCCCCTGACTGCCCCGCACCCAGAACCTCTGCCCTATCCAACCTCCCCCCATTCCCCGTCCCCTGACTGCCCCCTCCCAGGACCCCCCGCCCCCTAACTGCCCCCCCCAGAACCCCACCCCCTATCCAACCACCTCCTGCTCCCTGACTGCCCCCCAGGACCTCCTGCCCCTTATCCAACCTCCCGGCCCCCTTACCATGCCACTCAGAGCAGCATGTCTGGGAGCCGCGCCGGAGCCAGACACGCTGCCCTGCATGAGCGTGCAGCAGCATAACTGCGGGGAAGGGGGGGGACAGCAGGGGAGGGGCCGGGGGCTAGCCTCCCAGGCCAGAAGCTCAGGGGCCGGGCAGGACAGTCCCGCAGGCAGGATATGGCCCGCGGGCCGTAGTTTGCCCGCCTCTGTCTTAGACCAAAACTTACTTAATGTTGTGGTGCCAAATGAAGGAAAAAACTCGATAAACTTATGGCTGGGTAGCATTTGCCTGATCCAATAAAATTCAATAGACCTTTTCAAATTTACTTCATGACAAAGAGCTTCACGAAGACAGACGTGGAAGCAGAGGAAAATTATTGAATGATTAAAGTGATAACAGATGAAATTTAGGATTAATTTCCACCATGACTTGTACCTAAAACTTAGTACAATCATTAATATCAAGTGAATTTAATCCTAAGAGATAAAGTTGAAGCTAGGAATAAAAGTTTAAAATTAAAATATGGGGTCACAAGAATCAAGTGGCTCAAAAAGAGGTTTTATCAGCTAAGGATATTAATTGCCCATGATACTGGAGGTTATTACTAAGAAGATTTTTAACAGAGTTTTTCAACAATTCTCTCATAAATTGGAAGGTGGCGGGCTAAACTGAAGTAGGTCTATCTTTTCCATATTCATAAAAAGCCAAATTTCTGTTAAATGAACACAGGGAAGATACCTGTAACCTAGACAGGCCAGCACAGAAGATATTCCAGCAGTTTTTGCTGGAAGTCCATGTAATGATCCACTTACATTGATAAAACAGTCACCATGCCAAGAATTATAGATCTCACACCTGCAAAGGTTTTTGTTGTTCTGATGACACTTTTTGTACCAAGGTAAAGAAAAGGCTGCAGTAGTAATGAATCCTTTCTGTTTTCTCCTTCCCACCAAACCTATCGTGACTTCTATAATCCTGAACTGGATTTATCAATCCCTTAAAAAAGGCCAAGACAGATATGAAATGTGTGCTCTGTCAACTAAAAGCATCATCATCTTGCTAGCTCACATCCTAAGCTGACATGGCCATGCCAAAGACAAAGTCAGTTTGTATTCATAATGGACATCCAGGGCTGCTGAAAACAAAGAAATCAAACTGTCGCTATAAAGAAAAACTAGAAACCCAAATGATAACTAAATTAGACAAAACCAACAGGTCCTTTTAATTTAAAATTAAAAGTTAAAAAAGTTCACATACTACATTTACCTCTGAGTCCCTCTGACAATTGTATGATTTTTACTAAAATGTTTCTCTCTCCTGTTGCAGTGTGAAAGATCCTCACAAACAGGGGGACTGACTGACTACATAGGGGAAACTGATCAGACAAATAGTCTGTCAAATTCACAAGCTACACAAACTAACCCCACCCCAAATATTTTACCCTTCTAATCTCTTTTCGTTTTAGAGATCTACTGATGTGGCAACCACTACCTATGATAAATAATGACAGGTTTCAGAGTAACAGCCGTGTTAGTCTGTGTTCGCAAAAAGAAAAGGAGTACTTGTGGCACCTTAGAGACTAACCAATTTATTTGAGCATAAGCTTTCGTGAGCTACAGCTCACTTCATCGGATGATAAATAATGTTTCAGATAGATTAAGCAGTGAAATATAGAAACATAATGGGAAGTTACAAGAGAAAGAAACAGCTTAAAAAGTGATTGGAACTATAAATTTCACAGGCATTTCTGTTGAAAAAAGCAGCAACCACTCAAAATCACTTTCCATGCTGGGAAATAAAACAGCACAAGGACTACAAAGCTTTTCAGACAGGAGAAAAGAAAGTGACAGTTGATGGTGTTAAATTCCATTATGTCCCAACAAAGCGCACGATTTCACCTTTGAGATGAGACAGTTCTGTTTCCTTGCTTCTATGTACTGCAAAGCTCTTACAAGCCAGAGGCTTGAGACCCAAAAACTGGGATCTATGGTACATACTTACCTTTAGAAATTTATACTCAAAAGATTTTAGTTAACTGCATGCCTATTAAACCCAAGTCACTAATGTCCAAAAGTAAGAGTATACTCTGATACTGTGTTCTTATGATAGTTTCCAATATTGCTAAAATGATTGTATTTACACCTAATATAATCAGACTGCAATGTGAAATCAGTTATTTGCGTGTGATAACCTGCATTAATGTTCCAAACTTAATCAGGCTCTTCCATTTCCCCTGCTTTGCTAATCTGACCCAGCATCCACATGTCCCATTCTTAGAAGAAAACATTCCATCATATAACCAATATAAAACTTAAGAAAGTTTACCACTTCACAAACCAGGAGCATAAACTACTGTTTCTTACTGGAAAACAAGGTGAATTTTATTCTTACCATTTTCATCTACAGCAAGTACACTTGCTCCCTTGCCTAAAAGTTCTTGAACTACAACTGTTAATCCATTTCGAGCAGCAACATGCAGAGGTCTGTGAAGACAAACAAACCTGGTTATAGAAGAAGCATCAAAACAAGATACAAAAGAATATTTTAGGGATCAAGTGCCCATCCATAGTGACAACCACACTATGTATAGCCTTTATTTGTTCTGTTCCTTAACTTCTTATACAATGTAAAAATTAAAAAAAATATATTTTCATTTAAAAGTAAAAAAAGAAAAAATGTAAAGCTGAATACTCATTATTCCTCTTAACAGCAAAGAACATTTCTGCAGTAAAAATTATGTACTAGTAATACTTGTTCCTTTTTACGACATATGACATTGTGAGGGAATAACTCTTCATCTGGCATGCCTTATGATAACAAAAATATTAAAAAGCACTTGTTAAAAGGGCAGCAACAAACGTTCCCCTTTAGTGTTATTATAGCAGCTAGTTGTGTCCATAATTAAAATAACTAATCTTTCACTGCAATCTGAAAGTCAATTGCAGCACATCTGGGGAATTATGCAGGTCAATGGCAATTGTCTTTTATTAGAATACCACTAGCAAGATGCTAGTCATATTCTATTATATAGAATAGTTAAAATCAATATTCCCCCAATTTTTTACAAACATGTGTGGAATTAATTTTGTGCGTGCACAAATATGGAGGTTAGGAGATATGGGGGTGGGACCGAGGGGCTTGAAGTGTGGGAAGAGGTTCAGGGCTGGGTAGAGGGTTGGTGTGCAGGCCCTACCATTTGTATTCAAGTGGTTTGCATGTGAGGTGCTGAGTCGGCATACCTTGGTTATGTAGAGTGCGATATTTTTCAAAAGCAGTCAACATTGGCTTAACTCTGCTCCCACTGAAGTTTTTCCATTGACTCCAGTGAAGGAGAGGTAAGCAAACACCAAGTGCTTCCAGAAACTTTAATCCTTACTTCCTCAAATGCAGGTTTACTAAACACAAATTGGAGTAATTATAATTTTAAAAGAACTCTGTCATATCTCCCACACTGAAGCCGATCATTTAAAAAAAAAAATAACCCAAACACTGGTGTTTGCTTTTTAAGTCTTTAAAGATATATGTATAGAAGTTCATAATATTTGCTGTTACTTTAAACTAGCTTATCCCTACCAAATCTTTCTTCTTCTATTTGAAAACACAGCTGTGTGCTATCACCTGCTTTTCCTAATGAAGCTACATTTTATCAAAGGTTCTCTGTTAACCGGCTTGCTTGACTGGGCATTCATACTTTTGAGGTCAGGATGTACTCAGGGACAGAGCATTGCTGATGTAAAACCAGCAGAGGGAGCTAAATTACTTTTCAGGGTAGTGTAAACCCAGTAATAGGTTTTTACTACAGCTGGTCAAAATTTTTCACACAAATATTTGAAAAGCCCTTTTTCTTGAAATTTTGACAAACAGGAATAAAACTGTGCAGAAATTCTTAGTTTTCCCCACCCTGGCCCAGCATTTGGTCTGTGATGGTATACGGAATTTTGATTGATTACTTAATAGAAATCTTTAAGACAGATTTCAGAGGAACAGCCGTGTTAGTCTGTATTCGCAAAAAGAAAAGGAGTACTTGTGGCACCTTAGAGACTAACCAATTTATTTGAGCATGAGCTTTCGTGAGCCACAGCTCACTTCATCTGAAGTGAGCTGTGGCTCACGAAAGCTCATGCTCAAATAAATTGGTTAGTCTCTAAGGTGCCACAAGTACTCCTTTTCTCTTTAAGACAGAGTACATTCCCAACCAAATTTAAGATAGCACAGATTTTTGTGCTCACACTAGTTTTGCATCAGAAGTAGTCATTTAAATTACACATACTCTCTGTGCTGGTAAAAAGTGGAAACAGTTGTTACAATTAAACTGCAACTAGTGGTACAAAACCATATAAACCTTGCTGTGTACACTCTTTTGCACTCTTTTGCAGTTCTTTTCTAGTAGATAGCAGAGATGATTTCCCTTTGTAATTAGTGATCTTAAATAGGTTCTAATCTTTTAACCATTAGTAATCCCAGCACCCTTTCCCAGGAGCGTGATAGTCTTAAGAGCCAAGTTTTTTCCTGACTTAACCTACTGTGAAACTAGATAAAGTGAATGCATTGCTGCCTGACCTGCTGCAGCAGGGGATAGGTACCTCTCCCCTGCCGCAGCAGCTCCAGGGCCGGGGCTGTGGGAGAGGTGCTTCTCCCCCTCTGCAGCCCTGCATACCCCAAGTAACTACCTCTGTGTGTCCCTTGGTACCCTGAGCTTAGAAGGAACTTTGGTTGAAATACTAATGCCTTTCTTTTAGACAGATTAACTTCTGGCTTTCAGAAACCAAAGATCTCCAACTGTCTCTGCAGATGGAATAATTTTCTCACAATTCAAGGCACGAAGTGGCAAAAAGAACACAGAGCACAATGAATTCATTATCTACTCAAAACCTTCAATTATTAAATGTAACTTTAAATTTTCAAGACATCAATCCATCAAGCAAAGCAGACAGATTTACCTCAAACATTATAACTGCATTCTCTTTTAAAGCATCAGTTGAAGAGGAGTGGTAATCAAAATTTATCTAATTGTTTTTAAAAAGAAACCACAACAGGGCACACAGTAAACCCAATAACTTTGGTAGTTCACCTCAGTTCTATATTGACTTTCATTTATTATGAAGTTTGTGAAAATCCCCAAATTAATCTCACTACACTGTGTATGAAACAAGTACATTATTGATAAATCTTAAACAGAAATAAAGCTCATGGTGCGGGGGCGGAGGGGAAAGAAGAGGTTACATACTTTGTGCAGTAACTGGTTCTTCATGTGTCCCCCGAGGGATGGCTCCACTTCAGATGCACATGTACCACTCAAGCCCTTGGTTGGAGATTTTCAGTTAGTGTCCATCTGGCCCACGCATATGCCTTAATGCTTCCTCATGTTTAATACCGAGACTGTATAGGGGTGCCCAGACAAACTGCCCTCAGCTTCTTCTCCACCCAAATGTCCCCCAAGGAAGAGTCTGAAGCAGAGGGGAAGGAGTGCAGGTAGTAGAGCACCCACAGGGACACACGTCTCGAAGAACTGCAATTACTGCACCAAGTGAGTAGTGTGTCTATGGGTGCTCCACTTCAGGCGCCTTCCCAAGCAGTATCCCGAGATGAAGGAGGGAGCTTTAGAATAGAGTCCAGAACCGAAGACAGTACTGCAGAACCAAGTGCTGCATTGGATCTGGCAGCATGGATCAGGGCATAATGTTTCAAAAATGTACATGTAGTGGCCCTACATATTTCAGATATTGCTACATTCTTCAGTAATGCTGTAGATGCTGCCTACGTTCTAGCTCAACATGTTATCACCCTTTCAGGGAAGGGGTGCTGGTGGATGAATGCCTGCAACATCATAACAAGTGATAATACATCCACATATGCATCTTGATAATCTCTGAGTAGGGACTGAGGACCCTGTGGATCCATCCGTGAAGGAATTGAAGAGCTTAGATGGATTTCCTAAATTGCTTGGTCCTATCGAAGTAGAAAGCCAATGCCCTTCTAACATCCAAGGTATGTGAACAAGATTCCTGTAGAGAAAGAACTGTGTGACTTTGGGGAAAACACTGGTCGATGAATGGACTGCTAAAGTGGAACTCTGACAGACGCTTAGGTAAGAATTTGGGGTGTGGACATAGAGAACTTGTCCTTAAAGAACACTTTGAAAGGGGGTGGGGAGGAATCTGCCATCAAGTCTCAATCTTCCTAACCTTACAGGCCAATGTGATGGCTACTAACAAGGCCGTCTTCGTGCAACACAGAACAGGTTGCCATTAGTTCGAATGGAGGTCTCATAAGGTAACTGAATACCAAGTTGAGGTCCTAAGTCAGGATAGGGTTTCTAATCTGGAGACAGAAATTCTCCAAAACCCTTAATAAACAAATAGATGATACTGGATGAGCAAAAATTCTCCTTCTACTGGAGAATGAAAGGCTAATACTGTGGCCAATGGATCTTAGTCGAACTGATAACTTGATTTCTTTAGCTCCAAAAGATAATCAGAGGACTGAAAGTGGCACCAAATAAGGCAAGAGGCATCAACAATACCAGTGGAAGACTTCCATTTCTGCAGGTAAGTAGTGCAGGTTGATCTTTCTTTACTATTCAGTAGTGCCTGTTGTACTTCTATGGAGCAGGAGGATTCTCTATGAACCATCAAGGAGCCATGCCCTCAGGCGGAGAAACGCTAGGTTGGGATGAAGCATACAACCTGTATCATGTGACAGTAGATGACGAATGGCTGGGAGCCTGGACAACAATTGGACACATACGTGAAGCAGGTAAGGGTACCAAGCTTTTCTTGGCCACGTTGGCACTATAAGGATAACTTTGATTCTGCCCTATCTGATCTTGTTCATCACCGTCAGTAGTAGCAGTGTTTGAGGAAATGCATATAGATCCTTCCTCCAAGATGGAAGAAAGGCATCTCCCAAGGGTCGTGGCCCAGACCCCCTCTTGAGCAGAAAACAGGACACTTCCTGGAGATGGCGAAGAGATCCACTTCTGGCAGTCCCCATTTTAGGAATATACTGTGGAGAACTTGGGCATCTAGCTTCTATTCCTAATCCTGTGAGAAGTGTCTGCTGAGGACATCAGCGGTGTTGTTCTGAATACCTGGGAGGTAGACTGGTGAAATTTGGATCTGATGAGCTATGCTCCAATTCCACATTTTCACGACTTTGCTGCATGGGGATGGGGATCAGGGTGATTTCTTGAGTTGTTCATGTACCCTGAGTTGTGAGGGTATTGAGGAAGGCTCCCCATCCCAACAGTGATGCATCTGTTGTTAAAGTCACTGATGGGGCTGGGCAACAGAAAGGAACACCTTCACAGACATTGAGTTGATCCTTCCACCAGTCTAAAGAGTCCCTCACTTGAAGAGGAACTATCAACTGTCTGTCCAAGATGTGTTAGATTGGAGAATATGCTGCTTTGAGCCAACTCTGGAAGCAATGGAGAGGTAGCCTCGTGTGATTTGTCAAAAAGGTGCAAGTTGCCACATGTCCC